CTGACGTTCTATTATCCACTGAGCCAAACCGGTTTCGACTCTTGTCTATATTATAATGGCAAATTTAGGTGTTGGAAAGGTAGAAAAGTGGGTAATTAGGTGTAGGTAGACTTAGTTTAAATAGGTACTTAAAAACAATATGAGACTGCTCTGGTTTATTCTTATAATCATTATTTAGTCTGTTTCAATTTTAAACACTGCTCCAACTGCATTAAATTTCTGCCATATTAACCTGAAATATGCTAGAGAAAATAAACTAAGACAAAAATAAATTATTGTTTTTTTCTTTTAATTTACATTTCAGGATCAGACTTGGCTTGTATTCCAGGCTCAGGGTGCCAGAAAAGTAAATAATGCACAATACTCAATGTTTATTTTCAATACCCTTGTTATGGGCAATTAGACGAATTTTAGTGATGATCACAGGCTTCTAAATAGGAGACAGTAACTCCTATAAATACCAATTTCCAAATACTATCTCTCCACTCCAGCCCATCACAGTTTTAAAACCTGTTTTTGTTATTTTTTGTTTTGTTGCTTTATTTTGTTTTTTTAACAGGAGAGCCAGTGTAACTCCTTCAAGACTGGAGTGACACACTCTGCATCTTCATCTGCCTCATGTGAGTTCTCATTTTTGGCAGCAGCACTCTGCTAGGCTGGAACCTCTGTCGAGGTTTGCCCTGCCCCCGCTGGCGCGATACCCCCCTTTCCCCCCTCCCAAAATCTAGAATCTACTACCACAAGTGTGTCTTGGTGCAAAGGTAAAAAGTGCATGAGAATTCCAGACTTCCCTGCAGAAAGTTTCTGGCTCATTTCAAAGGAGTACTGTCTCCTCTTACCTAAGTGCTATCTTTTATGAATAACATCACTCAAACAGAGCTCATAGCTCTTATCCCCACAACATGTGGTTGATATCTTTTGAAGAACTGTTTTTTTCCTTGGAGATGATGGAGTAAAGAATATCTTTAAATGCTCTCAATAGCTTTAGCTTTTCAAAGCTTCGGTTGTTCTCTTTATAAGCCGGCTAGTTATGTAACCCGAGGACATTGTGTGCTGCCCTAGTGGCTGAAGCAGTCCTCTTTTTTGGACGCTAGCCCTTAAAATAACTTTTCCCTTTGTCTTTGGATATTGGGTAAATTAGGATAGGCCTGAGGACTTTCTCGAAGAAGATATAAGCATTACATGTGTGAGGTTAGGTTTACTTTGAAGCTACTGGCTGTGTTTTGGGAAGTCAGTTGTAAGAATTGAGCTTGAAACTCTGCATCATTTACTAGCCGTTTTTTCAAGAGGACTTAAAATGAGGGCCTCTGTAGCTGTGCAGAGGCGTAGCACTCTATCGTCAGAGGCAATGTCCATAGTTCTCCACATGTGTCAAGGCTGGCTCATTGTTTGAAAGAGGAGTTTTATTTTTTTACTTATGTATGTATTTAATTTTCAAATAATGGTGGTACTTTGTAGGCTTCAGGAAATAGTCATTTTTGCTATCAGGTCAGAACAAATTGTGATTATTCCCAAGGGACATTTATAACAAAACTTCTAAACTAGTGCTCTGTGCAGCTGTGGTTCTGTTTCTCAAGCCCTGATTGTGCTTTATAATTCTCTGACAGGTGATTTAATGACCTGGGAGTTCGTGTTGCTGAAATGATTATCCGGGAAGCTTATGAGAAAATGTCAATAGCTCATAGTTCTTACTGATTTATATAGAGCTTAGTGAAATAGATAGTGTTGTCAAAGTGGAGCTTGGCCTCTCTCTGCTAAATCCATTCCCATCTATGACTAGAGCAGTTTATTTTGGACTAGATAAAAGAAATTGGAGGGATAATGGGTTTCAACACCCAAGTTTAAGTTTTGATGAGCTATGTAATCTAGAAATTCACTTTAACAGTGGTCGTGTATTTATATAATACACGTGGCATTTATAATATACCCCACAGAGAACTTGGAATGAGACTTAGGAGTAACCTAAATTCTTGCTTTAGCTAATGTTTGTACTTGCTGTTATATAACTTCAGGTCCTCAAATGGGGAAAATACATAATATTTTTGGGAAGTACCCTAAACTCACTGAGAGAAAGGAAATATAAAGTTTATTTCTATAGGTGGAATTTTTAGAAGGTCATTTCAGTTGAACACTTGAGAGGAGTTCTGCCCTGGAATAAATACAATGTGGCAAGTGTAGAGAGTTTTATTTTTTCTGCTATTCTAGGGTTTGTTCTGGCAAAATGGGGATCTGAGATTTTATCTCCCATCTCATTTTTTCCCCTACTAAAAATTCTGAACAAATTATTTTGGATTTCAGTCCAAAATGTCTCATAGACATGGTTTTAATCACTATTATTCCATTATTCTAGAAATTATCTGATTTTCTAACTAGGGAAAATCGCTCATTTAGGGAATTGAGGGTTGTTGGGGTTTTTTTTGTGTGTGTTTTTTGTTTTGTTTTTGCCTCCCATTATTTTTCTTTTTTTAAAAATTATTATCTGTGTACATATTTTAACATTGTCCCCCCGCCTCCCATTCTTAAGGCAGATCCAGCAAGTTGTTATTCTGAAAAAAATTTAATTGAAAACATTTTATATAGGCCAAATCATAAGAGTCAATGAATTACGCAAATTGGTTTGCTATACTGGAATTTTGTTTCATTAACTATTGTTTGAAGTAAGCGGGGCTTTGTAGATTGGGAACTAATTTTTGTTTTATGGAAATTTTAAAATGTTATTTTCTATTACTTGTGGTGAAATCACTGGGTGGGTATGAGATATTGCTTTATATTCTCAAACTAATGTAAATTGCTTTCCTGTTTTTATGATAACACACCTGCCCTGCCCTGTTAATGTGTATGAATAGTTAACACTTCCTTTATCACAGTAGATATCATCTAGATTTAAGATTTTCACACTTGAGACTTCAAAAAAATTTTTTTGTGTGGGGTGAGGATGGGGTTGGAATTGATGGGAAGAAAAAAATATAGCCAGTTTTGAAAATGCTAGCTGGGGTTAGCATTAGCATTAACTTGTTAATACAAAAAAGAAATGACAACTTTTGGGGGGTGTTGTTCAGATGAGATGAAACTCAGTGCATCTCCTAAAGGACCTTAATAATTCTAGGCTTTGAAAATATGACAAATGTTTAAAGGACTTTGAATGCTCACCTTGCTTCTTTAAAATTTCAATTTAATTTTTAAAAACAGATCAAATACATCAATAATGTTACAAGTTTTAAAAAGTATAAAAGAAGTTACATAAAGTTTTCCTTCTTCCTTCTACTGTCTTTTAGCCATTCATCCATCTCCCTTCTGTGGAGCAACCAGTATTATGATTTTCTTTTATGTATTTTTGAGTAGTCTAAAGCAGCGGTAGCCAACTGGTGGTCCATGAGGTCAGAAAGGTTGGCAACAGCTGGTTAAAAGATTGCTTTTAGAAAAGGAAAGTTGAATTGTACTCATTAAAATATTAGCATTAACTTGGATAGGCAGAATAATTGCAATGAAAAAATCAGTTGGAGCCATAGGTTATATGTTAAATCATAGAAAGGAAAACTATAATAATATAATGATAATAGTTGCATTATTATGAGAATGTAGGAATAGAATGGATTTGTTCTTGGCCTCATTTGGCATTTAGCAAGAAAACAGGTCTTTTTTTGGAAGGGATTTTTTTTTTTTTTTTTTTTTTTTTTTTTTTTTTAATATGACCTACCCACCCCTAGAGACTGATGGAAGAATGCTTACCTAGATACTAAATATTTCATTTGGAAGAAACTAAAGGAGCAACATTTTGTTTATGCTGGATTGCAGTAATGACTCTAAAAAGTATTTTTTATTATAGAAAACTTCAGATATATACGATACAAGAGGAAAAACCCCATATTCCAAAATCCATTTTATTTCACCTGTAAAAAAACAGTAGTATGCTTCTTTGGCAAAAAAGAAGACATCATTTTTTAGACATATACTTGCACATCCCAATTCCTCTATAATCACATCTAATAAAATGAATCACAATTCTTTTTTTGTGTGTATGTGTTTTTTTTTTAATCCTCACCAGCGTCTATTTTTTTCCATTACTTGTCAGAGAGAGTGGAAGGAGAGGGGGACAGAGAAAGAACAAGAGAGAGATTGCCTCCCACACGTGCCTTGACTGGAGATAGGGCTCAAACCCCAACCCAGGTATGTGCCTTTGACCTAAATTGAGTCCAAGATCCTTGGGTGCAAGGGCCAACATTCTAACCACAGAGTAACACAGCCAGGGTGAAATAACTCGTAATTCTTTAATGTCGTCCAATTCCCAAGTTCACATCTTGATTTTTCAAATTATCTCAGACATGTCTTTTTATGGTTGCTTTTGCAGTAAAAACTTAACACAATGCAATTTAATGATTATAATATTGTTAGGGCTGATAAGAAAACAAATGAGTCCTGACAAATAGAATTATGCTGCTTGAAGAAGAAATATAATGTAGCTACCAAGCCAAATAGGAATTCCAAAAATAGACTGGGTTTTTTTATAGCTCATTTTTAAGAATTCGTACACCAGTTATGCACACCAGTAAAGCCTTCAACATATATAGACTTCTACCTTGTTTTCTATTTTACTTACATTTTCATGTAATATCACAACTATGCATATTAATTTTCCCACCCTTTTAGATTGTATGCATGAAAGACTAGATAAAGAGTAAAACAATGTTTGAATTAGGTTCCTTAAGAATGAAAGAACTATTCTGAAATGTCTGATAATTTAGCTGTTACTGCTGCTCCTACTATGTATAATATTACCTGTTTCCACAAACTAACAATTGAGTTCTGTGATTACTTGAGGCAATACAAAACACAGATTTGGGGCAAAAAGAAGAGAGAGAGAGAGAGGGAAAAAAAAGGCAGATTTAGAAAGAGGGAGTAACTGGTAGAAATTTAGGAAGAGGAGGAAAGAGTAGAAATTCACTCATTTGCCTTCTATTTTAATTGGCTATTCTTTTAATGAGAACCTTTTCTTTGTGCAGTATACAAGTCCCCAGAGTACGAGTCCCTTGGTTTTGAGCTTACTGTGGAGAGATTAGTTTCTATTGGCTATCCTCAGGAACTGCTCAGCTTTGCTTATGATTCTACATTCCCTACCAGGTAATTTTTCAAGATTATTTTGGATTAAAACCCCACTTATCCCCAAATTAATAATTCCAAATGCAGCCCTGATTAAAAAATAAAGTGTGTTTTCCTTTTCAGTTGGTTGGTGTTGATTTTAAAATGATCAAGGACTATTCATGTCCACTACCATATCTTTTCTGTTCTTGAATTGAGCTTCATTTATTGTTATTGAAGGAGATCCATTATTGGAAAAGAAACAGGATTACTAGTAAATCTGATGGGCAGTAATCAGTCATGGATATATATATAACTTTGGTTGTTGGAAAGCAGTTACAAGTTTTGCTAATACACTTAATTTGGTAATCAGGAACCTCTTTTATTTTTTTAAACTTTTTATTTTTAAAAATATTTTTATTGATTTCAGAGAGGAAGGGAGGGGGAGAGATAGAAACATCACTGATGAAAGAGAATCATTGATTGGCTGCCTCCTGCATGCTCCACACTGGGGATTGAGCCTATAACCCGTGCATATACCCTGTCCTGGAATTGAACCATGACCTCCTGGTTCATAGGTCAATGGTCAACCATTGAGCCATTTTTTTTTTTTTAAAGTATTGATTGACTTAGAGAGAGAGAGAGAGAGAGAGAGAGAGAGGGAGAGAAATATTAACCCTTTGCACTCCGAACCATTCTGGACATTGGCTACCAGCTACTCGATGCTAATGGCGGAAACATGCGTTGAATTAACTCAATTCCCTGTAATCACTAATAAACTGCGATGTCCCCTGAGAGGGGACAGCGGAGTGCAAAGGGTTAATTTGTAGTTCCACTTATTTATGCATTCATTGGTTGCATCTTATATGTGCCCTGGATGGAGATCCAATGCACAACCTTGGTGCATTAAGTCGATGCTCAAATCAACTGAGCTACCTACCTGGTCAGGGCTAAGAGAGCCTTTTTAAAATATTGAATATATGTATATACAATACTTACTGATTTCAGAGAGGAAGGGAGAGGGAGAGAAGATAGAAATATCAGTGCACACCCCACACTGGGGATCAAGTCTGCAATCTGGGTATATGCCATGACTGGAAATTGAACTGTGACCTCCTGGTTAAAGGTCAATGTTCAACCACTGGGCTAGAGGAACCTTTTGATAGTTTGCATTAATAAATTTGATAGGAAAGAAAAATTGTGGGTTTTTTTAAGATGTTACCATCATATATGTTCCATATACAACATCTAAAAGAGGGAAATATAAGCTAGTTCAGTTTTGTCCAAGGAAACTAAGACTGTTTTAGGATGGAACCATCTGTATTAAGAGGAATTACAGTTTATACCTTAAACTATATTAAGCTCTCGTTCCTTATAGAAAACAGTTGTAATTAACTATCTAGACAGAGTAATTTTAGTTGCTCTGGGATTAGGTTTTTTTCTTCTTTTTAATAAATATATTTTATTGATTTTTTTAAAAGTATATTTTATTGATTTTTTACAGAGAGGAAGGGAGAGGGACAGAGAGCTAGAAACATCGATGAGAGAGAAACATTGACCAGCTGCCTCTTGCACAGCCCCCACTGGGGATGTGCCCGCAACCAAGGTACATGCCCTTGACTGGAATCGTACCCGGGATCTTCCAGTCCGCAGGCTGACGCTCTATCCACTGAGCCAAACCGGCCTCGGCTGGGATTAGTTTTTAAGATTTTATTCACTTACTTTAATCTCTAGGGTTATGTTGTTTTGGGACATACTTGAGTTGCCATAAAGCTTGAATAAGATGAGTTTGGTTCATGGTGATCAAGTAATGTAAGATTATTGCCTGTATTGTTTTGCATTATTGATAATGTTTTCATTTTCACTTAGGGGACTTGTCTTCGATACACTCTATGGAAATCTTTTGAAAGTTGATGCCTATGGAAACCTCTTGGTCTGTGCACATGGCTTTAACTTCATAAGGGGGTGAGTTCAAAGAAACCTTTTAGTCTCTTTCTAGTATTTGTATAGTCTGACAATATGAAGATGACAGTGTCTTCCTGAGTTCAATATACTTCTCTGTGTTTTGTTTGTTTGTTTTATTATTAAAGAGCAATTCTTTTACATAAGGATACTTTACAATTACTTATCAGGCAGGAAAGACCCAAACTGACTTATAAATAGAGCTAGCAGTTACATTTTGTTTAAAATAAGTGCTTTCTAATGATGGATCATCCAAAAAAGGTAATCATGTAACTTGCCCTAAAAGAACTTGAGTGGCTTTGACTTATTTGAGATTCTAAGATTTTTATTTTCTCCTTTTTAATACAGTTCTCAGGTAGCTGCTCAGAAGAGGTATGTACATAAAAGTGTTTTGAAACATTTAAAACTACAACAGTGTAAATGACTAAGATTTTTAACAGCTAATACATTATTTTTTTATATTCTAATGAAAGCTTCAAATATTTGATTATGTTAAAATTTTTTAAAACATGGGGTTAAAATGAATATAGGGTAATATTTAAAACAAGTAAGGATAAGCTTTATTTTTATAATTAGACTATTTTCTTCTTTCTTTTCTTTAAAAAAATTTTTTTTATTGATTTTTACAGAGAGGAAATTAGAGGGACAGAGAGCTAGAAACATCGATGAGAGAGAAACATCGACCAGCTGCCTCTTGCACACCCCTCACTGGGGATATGCTCGCAATACATGCCCTTGACCGGAATCGAACCCGGGACCCCTCAGTCTGCAGGCCGACACTCTATTCACTGAGCCAAACCGGTTTCGGCTATAATTAGACTATTTACTATCCTTACTAATTTGAACTTTTTACCCTAGTAAACAGCAGATAAAATTTAGTGTCTACTATTTTTTTAGTGAAACATCCCAATTTTCTCTTTAAACATTACAATACCACAGTTTGACAACTTCTATAATTATGGCTTTACAGTTATACATCTTCTGTATTGCTGTATTACCTACTTTACCAGTGGCTCTATATTAGGATCAGAGCAACTCTTAAAACCAAATAGGTTATATGTCAGTCTTTCGCATAACTTTGTCATGAATTATTTATTCTCAATGGCCAGGCAATAAAAACAGCACAGTCTACATTGAAATTGTTAGAGACAATATTTTTGGTAAATAAACTTTATGATAAGAGGCACCAACTAATTGAAACTATACTCGAGTTTTTTTTAAATCTATGGTTATAGCAAGACCCTACTTAGAATTGAAGCATCTTATGCAAGACTCTTCAGCTGATTCTTGGAAATCAGAGCTCAAAGATTTCCAAATATACATAGTGAGAAAAGTGTGAAGTAACACCCAACCTTGACACACCTGGACAGGCCTTTCTTTCACTGTCACATCTGCCCTTCTTTCACTGTCCCTCATGAGGGGTTTGTTCACAATCCATGAATATCATGATGCAGAATTTCAGTGTGAAGTGATTGCAAGTACCCTGTTTCCCCAAAAATAAGACAGTGTCTTATATTAATTTTTTCTCCCAAAGTTGCGCTAGGTCTTATTTTCAAGGGATGTCTTATCTTTTCATGCGCTAGGTCTTATTTTCGGAGGATGTCTTATTTTTGGGGAAACACGGTAGTATTAGCAACCTAAGCTATTTTACATATGGATATTGGCACTACAATTCAGAATCCTAGTGAAGATGAACCAACATTATATTTATTAATGTCTGAAAAGGGACTTTTGTGCTGTGGGGGAGGGGTAGGTAGTCAAAGAAGAAAAGAGAGAGAAGCAGTTCTATAATAAATTAGTACTGCAATTAGATTTACTAACTCAATATCCAAAGACCTTCTTTCTTCCCCTTAGCCAGTAATGTTTCAAACACCTCCTTTGGAAATAAATTTAGTAATGTTTTAAAAATAAGTCATTTATGAGTAAATGCAGAATCATTTAACCAGCACTTAGCACTGTATGGTCCTTTGAGTAAAAAAGTCCATGGAGAAGAAGGGACTGAGGATGGAAGGTGAAGGAGAGAGAGAGTTCTTGAAGAACATGGTAGACAAGTCTGGCACTTTACAATGCCTTGCCAATGAGGCCTCAATTGCAAAGGCTTTTAAAGTTTTAGAATAGGATAATATTGAGATTAAATCTTTATTCTGTGGATTTCACAAAGTTAGCAGTAGTTTGTACTATATAACTTTTCTACTCAACTTTAAGTCTAGCATTCCTTCTTTTATGATATATTACCTCCCTCTGAATTAATTTTTACTTAAAAGATATATTAGCATGATTTGGCACTTAATTTAAACAAAATGTTATTGTTAATTATATAAGTCTTTTGGGTTCTAATTGCCTTATAACTATTATCCCTCTGTAAAGGAATTATTCTTTAATGATGGAGGGAATAGGAAAGTATGTCTAAGGGGGCAATGCATATAATTACTATTCCCTTTCACCTTAATTTTCATTACAGAAAATCTTGGAAAGCTAGAAATGAGATATTCTACAAAGTTATTCTTTATTGGAAATTTTAATTAGATGAGTGACAAAGACAGGAAATAATGTGATTTTATTTTCCAGAGTTTATGCCATTGTAGTTAACCAACCTAAGTAGGAATTTACTCAAGTTACTCTGAGTATGAACTTTAAGCTTGATGTTTGTTACTTAGATTATTAGTTGATCTCCATAAATTCACCTTGGGAATTGTGTATTTTTATATTTTAGTGTTTTGCCCTTCCTGTTTCTCTGTAATATTTTTATTAATACCATCCCCTTCCTCTTGCAGTGTTTTATTTCACTCTCCTAGGTTCTCGTGTGTCTCTAAAAACTTCTGTTTCCACCGGTTTCTTTCCTTTTGAACCCTAAATGTTCTCCATGAATATTTTCTCAGTCTTTTCTTTTCACAGTACTCTTAAGTGGCCTCCTCTACTCAATAATAATCTTCATGACTTCACCTACTACATATGCGTAGATGTTATCTCTCAAGTTGGAATCTCTGTTTTAAGTTCTTGATGTTTGTTTTTAATTGTTCGTAAAAATGTTTGCTTTGAGCTTACTGTATCCAAAATAAAACTCCTTACATCTACTTTTTACCTAATTCTCATATTTCTGTTAATGGAACCACTACCCTCTGAGAGACACCTTAATGTGAACATCATTACCTTTTTAAAAAAATATATTTTTATTGATTTCAGAGAGGAAGGGAGAGGGAGAGATAGATAGAAACATTAATGCTGAGAGAGAATCATTGATTGGCTGCCTCCTATATGCCTCACACTGAGGATCGAGCCCACAACCTGGGCACAAGCCCTGACCGGAAATCGAACTGATGACCTCCTGGTTGCTGGGTCAGCACTCAGCTGCTGAGCCACACCCAGCTGGGCTATTATCTTTTATTATTATCTTATGTTTTCTTTCTTTTAAAATATTTATTTATTTATTTATTTATTTATTTATTTATTTGAACATTACCTCTTATTTTTATGTCCCTCATCTGGCACATCCAATCAGATGCCTTTCCTTTAAAAATTTCCTTTGCCATCTTAAGGCTACTGCAATAACTGATTTCATAGTTCTTTCTGTATCAGTTAACTTTTAGTTGCATAGTAATAAATTACTTCGGAACTTAGTAGCTTGAACAATTACCATTTTATTTAGCTCAGAATTCTGAGAGTTAGCTGGAGGATTCTGGGGTTCCTCAGCTGATCTAAGGAACCGAACCCATGGCCTTCTGGTGCACAGGACAATGCTCCAACCCAGTCACACCAGCCAGTGCCAGATTGAAAACTTTCTTAGGCTGCAACCTGAGCTTGTTCATCTTCATGTGTAATATTTGGAAGTCTGCCTTGCATGTAGCCGTTAGACTATTTGTATGATTTTTCTATCTGAAATAGTGTTACTCATATGTCTGGCAGTTGGCAGCCTGTTGGCTGGTTGCCTCATTTCTGCATGTAGCCTTTTATTATCCAGCAGGCTATCTCGCTTTCATTCACATAGTAGTCTCAGAGTTCCAAGAGCAGCAAGAGTAGGCAAGCCTCAGTGCCCATGTGTTTTCAAAGTCTGTTTGGATCCCATTTATTGTTGTTCAAGCCTGTATTCAAGGATGGAGTCTCATAATAGGAGGAACTACAAAGTCATATTACAAAGAGATATTTGTAGCCATTTTTGCAACATATCACTTTTTTCCCCCCTTCCATTTTATCCTAAGACTGCAATTGATTTCTTTTATAATTTAGCTCTGCTGATTTTATCCCTATGCTTAAACACTGTGAATGGCACTTTGGACTTGAAAGAAGTTAAAAACAATAGCATAATCTGCCTCAATTTATCTTTCTAGTTTTATTTTTCTCTGCTCCCCCTTCTCTACTCAAATTGGACTAGTTTCTAAATTGGTCTGCCTAGCCTTTAAGGATCAGCTCACATGCCACACTTTTCATGAATCCTCACTCCCACATTTACTTTTCTCAGTCCCTAAAGTTGTAATGTCTCCCCTTCCTCAGTTTTCTCATAGCTCTTTGCACCTTTCTTTTGATTTTTTTACCCTGTGATAATTGTCCCTTATCAGACTGACAGCTTTTTAGAAATGTATTTTAGAGAGGGAAAAAAGAAGAGAGAGAAATACTCATTTGAGAAAGTTATACATCAATGTGAGAGAGATTCTAGTACATCAGTTGGTTTCCTCCTGTACGTGCCCCAAACAGGGATCAACCTAGGAATGTGCCTTGACTAGGAACCCAACCTGACCTTCGAGTGCAGTGGTCGCCAACCTCACGGACCACCAGTTGGCAACTGCTGCTCCAAAGGTTTCCTTAAACTAGTGGTTGCCAACCTTTCAGACCTCACAGATTCGCAGACCACCAGTTGGTGACCACTGTTCTAGTGCATAGGACGATGCTCCAACCAACTGAGCACACCAGTGAAGGCCAGATGGAACACTTTTTAGGGCTTCAACTTGAGCTTGTCCATCTTTATGTGTAATACTAGAGGCCTGGTGCATGAAATTCATGGGACGGGGGGGAGGTTAGGGGATTGGTGGTGTCCCTCAGCCCAGCCTGCACCCTCTCCAATCTGGAACCCTTGAGGGATGTCCAACTGCCCATTTAGACCTGATCTTTAGTCAGACATTCCTCTCTCAGTCCAGGACTGGTGGCTCCCAATTGCTCACCTTCCTGATTGCCCCAAACCACTTCTCCCTGCCAGCCTGATCACCCCCTAACCACTCCCCTGCCAGCCTGATTGCTCCTAACTGCCCTCCCCTGCCAGCCTGGTTACGCCTAACTGCCCTCCCCTGAAGGCCTGGTCACTCCTAACTGCCCTCCTCTCCAGGCATGGTCACCCCTAACTGCCCTCCCCTGCAGGCCTGGTCCCCCACAACTGCCCTTCCCTGCAGGCCCAGTCGCCCCCATCTGCCGGCCTGGTTACCCCTAACTGTCCTCCCCTGCAGGCTTGATTGCCCACAACTGCCCTCCCTTGCAGGCCAGGTCCCTCTCAGCTGCCCTTCCCTTCAGGCTTGATTGCCCACAACTGCCCTCCCCTGCAGGCCTGGGGTCCTCCCCTCCTCCCCCAACTGCCCTCCCTTGCAGGCCTGGTCCCTTCCAACTTCCTTCTTCTGCCAGCCTAGTCACCCCTAAGTGCCCTGCCCTGCAGGCTTGATCGCCCCCAACTGGCCATCTTGTGGCAGCCATCTTGTGTGTTGAAATGATGGTCAATTTGCATATTACTCTTTTATTAGATAGGATTTGGAAGTATGCCTTAGAAGTAGCTATTAGAATATTTGAATGAATTTTTAAGAATTTATTGACTTCAGAAAGGAACAAAGAGGTAGAGAGGGAAACTTCAATGATGAGAGACAATCATGTATCGGCTGCCTCCCTGCATGCCCCCTACTGCAACTAGAGGATGTGCCCTGGCTGGGAACCAACCACTGAGCCACACTGACCAGGCTTGAATGATTTTTGAATGATGAATATTTCTCATAGTTTTTATGCTAGTTTTTTGAGTACCAGTTAATTAAAATTTTTTTCTTTCAGACCAGAAACTAGAGAGCAGTATCCAAATAAATTTATCCAACGAGATGACACTGAAAGATTTTACATTCTGAATACATTATTCAACCTACCAGGTAGATTCATTCTATGCTTATATAACTGATGCTTTCTCTTCTTTCCATGATTATCTTTGCTCAAGGGAGATAAAATTAATTTAAATTTTCTCACCTAAAGCTTATGAATATCTATTCTTCATTTTTCAGAGACCTACCTGTTGGCCTGCCTAGTAGATTTTTTTACTAATTGTCCCAGATATACCAGGTATGTAAATGCTATAATTTTTTTCCAATTAATTTTTTAAAAAATTAATGTACAGGGTTTTAGAGAACTGGCCATTGTAGGTCTTTTCTGCTTTTCTGAAGTGAATTTAGTACTAGTGAGAGATGCCTCATTGCCAGCCTGAGAGATGGGACGGCACCAGCAGCTCCATGCAGGCTCTCACCTCCCACTCGGCCCCTCTTCTTGCCAGTGTGCTGCAGCCATGTTTGGAAGGGACCACTTCTGATTGGCTTCTCCTGGGAATGAAGACGGCCAGCAGAGGTGCTAATTGTGACAACTGAGTGGGAGGTTTGTGTGATGATTATCTGTCAAGCAGAATTACACTAAAACCCCCCTACTCATTTCACAGCAGCTACCCAGGAGCCATTCAGGGATGGTAATTTAATTTCATTCCCAGGCCCAGCAAGATTTGATTGAGGAATAAATACTGTTTATCCTCCCTGAAGTAAAATTTTGTTTAAGTTATACTCTCCTTTTTAGGAATTTGCATAACCACTGCTGAAAGTTCAGCTATATGTGCTAGAGTTTGCTAACTTCCTTATCCTCTCTAGGCCTTACCCACTTGAAGGCACTGAATTTGGTAGAGTGCTAAGTAGCTAAGCTACATAGAAAATAGGCAATACCTTTGTATCTAGAGATGTTAGAAAAGGCAGGGTAGAGAGAACCTAAATTACCAACTTTAAGTTTTAAATGTTTTTTTGATGGAACCTGTTTCTTAAAAGTGATGAATAAAAGAACTTGATGTTTTTGGAACTGGCCTTTAGCTTCCATTCAGTGTATTCTATCACTTTGTATTTGTTCACAGTTATTGTATTCCATTGAACACTATAGTCATCTCTGGTGGCCAGGTGGATTTTCATTAGGGAGTAATTATTTTCCTAATTAGCCAGTGCCATTATCCATGTGATAATGGAACCTTTGGGTCCCTGGGTAAGGTGTGATATTTTATTTATCCTCTTTTGGATTCCCTATCATGTTCTTTTCATCTCTCTGTAGCTGTGAAACAGGATTTAAAGATGGGGATCTCTTCATGTCTTACCGGAGTATGTTCCAGGATGTCAGGGATGCTGTTGACTGGGTTCATTACAAGGTACCTACTCACTCATTGGCATGTGTTTTATATTGTTTGACATTAACTTTTTAGGTGCAAATAGAACCGAGTTTTTTCCCTTTAAAACAAAACAAATCAAAACACACAAACAATCCCCCCCCCCAAATAGATTTACCCCCTAGTGATAGCTCTTTATAATACTTTAATACTTTGTTCTTGTCTTTGATTGTCCTGCTTTCAGATTGTGCTTGGTTTCTAGATCTTATTTCACAAACACACTTAGAGATTTTATACTTGCTGTATCCTATGAGTATAATTATAGTCCTTTCCAACCCCTCCCACCCCCAAATACTTGACTGATAACGTTAATAAGTATATTAACATTTACTATAAATTGTACTGAGTAAAATATGAAATGCTTTTTGATGTCTAGGTTAAAATAAGAATAATTTTATATTTTAAATACATTTTGGAAGCAGAGTTGAAGCAAATCACATTTGCTACTTTATCCTGGTCTTCTCCAATGTATCTGCTTTTCCATTTTGTAATACTTAAATGATGTGTCTGGGTTGATAGTAGACATAATTTGTCTTATAAATTGTTAGACTGATTTTGTTCTTATTTCTGTTTTTCTTCCCCTAGGGCTCCCTTAAAGAAAAGACAGTTGAAAATCTTGAGAAGTATGTAGTTAAAGATGTAAGTATTAAAGGGGAATCTACATGATAGCTTATAAAACCTATTAGGGAAATTAATAAGTCTATTTAAAATGAAATGCACAGGGGAAGATATGTATTTCCTTGTCTTGTTATAATATATGCCAAGTGTAATTACCAAGAGTTTTCAGCCAGAGCATATGTTTGGTACAGTTTTTCCTGCTTATTGATAATTAAGAAGACCTAGTATTCCATTTGTGTTTATAGCTCTAATTATGATAGCAGCTAGAGAGGTTATTGTGTGCTCATCAACGTGCTGAGTGAGTAATTACATGCATTATCCTGCTTACTCTTCTGTATAAGCCACGAAGGCATTGTTACCTCTGCTGCATAGGAACAGATGAAACTGAGGATTAAAGGGATTAAATAATTTGGCCAAGTTCATACAGCTAATAAGTAATGAACCCAAATCATAGCCACTGTGCTACACCATCTAAACAATGTACAAAGTAATTTATTTAAATTGTCTTTAGCCTATCAACAGGAAATAATAGGGAAAGCTTTAAAAATACCTAAAGGACATTAGAGGAGAATCTAATAAAATTCAGAAAAACCTGTAGTTTATTTAATTGAATTGTATCAATGTTAATTTCTTACGTTTTGGTGATTGTGCTGTGGTTACGTACAATGTTAATATTAAGGGAAGCTAGATGAGGAATATATAGAAACCCTCTACTGTTTTCACAACTGTAAGTCTGAAATTACTTCAAAATTAAAAGTAAACACATTTCTTTTTCTCACAGAGGAAAAGTAGCATAATGCATTATTTCCTCAAAAAGTATTTTGGTAAAGATTACTTACTATTTTCAGTCTTTGTACCTCCTATTTCCTCCCCACTCACCCCAATCCTTGTTTCAGAAATGCTGAGGGGTGCAGGAGAGGTCCAGGAGAACTTGAGTAAAGGGACCTATTTACTGTGAGAGAAGGGAAATCTGCTTTTCTTTCCGGTTATGGGGAGTTAGAATTAACTTTGTTTCTGTAGGTGAGTCTAGGCATTTCTAGATTGTATCCTACACATGTAATTCAGTTTTACAAGGTGTTTGTTTTTTAAATGAAAATATGTACAATGAAGCTAAATCTCCATATAGAAGATTTTGCTGTTTAAAATCAGCTCCCCCTGATCTCTAACATATCTAATTCATATACTAAGATTACAAAGTAATTTAAACTCTTTCCTGAGACAAATATGGGGAAAGTAGAGATGTTTTTAGGAAGCATATAATTATTATTTATGTGTATCATCTATTTATGTATATAAAAGCCTAAGCAACCGTTATTGCTGTTCGACCAGTCACTACGACACGCACTGACCAGCAGGGGGCAGACACTCAACGCAGGAGCTGCCCCCTGGTGGTCAGTGTGCTCCCACGGCCAACCACCCCTGGTCCCTCCCCCAGGCTGGCAAACCTCCCACAGTCCCTCCCTTCGTCCAGCAGACTCCAGCCAGTCTGGTCCCCCATTGGGAGTGGGCAAGATGGCCCTGATTGCCTGCTAGGCCTAGGGACCCCACCTGTGCACCAATTTCGTGCACCGGGCCTCTAGTTTTATATATAAAATCTATAAATTATATACACCATGTATATTATATATGTTAATACTTAACTTATGCATAGTGATAATGTCATCTTCTCAACGCAGAAATCTGAAGCCATCCAACCTTAAAGGGCATCCCCTGTTCTTATTTCAATGGACAAAAGTCCAGTATGTGACTATTCCACAGTAAATGAATATGTATTTGGGTTTATTGCTTCACTCATCATTATATTACATTTCAGGGAAAATTGCCTTTGCTTCTGAGCCGGATGAAGGAAGTAGGGAAAGTATTTCTTGCCACCAACAGTGACTATAAATATACAGATGTAAGTTGCTTAATATTCATATTTGTTTATTTATACAGAGGAATTATTTTGGCTTAAAGAACTGAAGATAACAAGGAGGGTAATAGTTTATTAAGGATAGTTTTGCCACTTCATTTTAAAAGCAGTGAAAAGAGCAGAAATATAAGCATAAGAGCTACCTCAGAGTGATTCTCACATTTTTCTAAATATTTCTTTGGACTATTTCCCCTAATTACAATTGGCTACTTGAATGCTTTAATTTGGGGGTTATTCAAAACATTTATGCTGATCAAAATGTCTTCTATGTCTCTTTGGCACATCATTTATATAAACTTAAGTCACTCTCTTTATTGTACATAAACACATGCCCTCCTCCCTGCTGTTGGGACCCAGACAGCATAGATAGTGCGAAGATGTTTTTATTTTTAGCCATCAAAAGTTACTACTGCTTAAGTGCTTTTTTGCCAGATTAACGCATGTAGAAAAGCCAGTTTAATTCCTCATCTTACTTTCGCTAAGACAGTTACAAGTTCATGGTACTAGAAAAAAGCTCAGTATTTCCCAATTCTTTATGTAAAATCTTATCTTAGAAATCTGAAGATTTGTAATAAGCAAGACTATGAGTCATTAGTTTTCTCTATGCTCTTACCTCAGAAGACCCTTACCTCCAAAAGTGTGTTCCAGTCACTAGAATTAGAGATATATGGATGAATCTGTACCTAATTATCTCCTAGAAGAATCTGATGTCCTACTGAGAGTGTCAGAGGCTTCTGTATGTTTGTTAGGATAAGCATTAATTTCTGGATTTCATAGCTATGATTTCATAAACTTTAGAGGAAAGAAGAATGTGATAAATCCTATATTGAAAAAGACATTTTTATGGAAAAGTGGTGTGGTTTTTTAATACTGTTTTATATCTTTTGTAGAAGTATTATATGGAACCTTATGTTGTTGTTGTTTTTTCCCTCCAGAAAATTATGACTTACCTGTTTGATTTCCCACATGGCCCAAAGGTACTATATGTAAATTATTAGACCATTGTTTTATTAATAATGAATGTATTTAATCAGCTTGGAATATTGATGTTAAGGAATTAATTGGTCAGGACCCATTCAGAAATCTTCATTAACATTAGAAGTAATGCAGGTGTTGGTATATTATTTCAAGTCGCTAGCAACTTGAAAACTTAGTAGACAAACATAAAAGAGATTCATATGGCATTTAGTAGGATGGTATCAGAATAATTTTATGCCCAAGAACTTCTATGTAAAGTTAAGTTTGTGGGTTTTTCAGGTTGAGGAAGATAACTGATGGAAAGAAACAGAAAATGTGTATATTCTTGACAGCTTTTAGATTTTGCTTAGTTATTGATGAGTTTTGTGCTAAGGGAACAGTTAAACTTGATACTTAAGCAGAGGTATCTTTATTTCTGCAGTATGGCTGCACTTAGATCTAAGGGACTATTCATTGCAAGTTAATCATATACTTGTGCCATACTGTTGTAATCCTAGGCTTTTAAAAAAAATATCAGTAAATCCCTATTTTGAGATCACCCAAAAGCAGTGCTCTTCAGCGTGACCTTAAAAGGTTGTTTCAGAATGGAAATCATGGTGATGGACATAACTGTTACATTAGTGCTGTGGTTGGCCCGCAGTAGGAGCCAAAGGCCAATGTGCACCTCGAGCCATCATTCTGAAGTCTTACCCAGTGAAATTTCCTAGTAGTCCCATGCTGGTTTGTATACTTCCGTGCTGAGGCTAATCGGCCTCTCCCTTCATTTGTCTCTTGGGTATGGATCTGCATCTCTTTTCAGCCTCCTTGAGCCTCTTTTTGAGTGTGAGCATGCTTTCATACGTTAAATTTCTGTGAAATAAGTTAATAAGTAGGTGAAATGATTTTAAATGTAGAGATTAGTCGTCATTCATTTATATTTTCACCTTGCCTGCTTCCAAAAGGATATGGCTTATAAGACAAAATGTTTTTAATAAAACTGGGATCTTCTGAGTATACTTACTACTTCTATTATACATTCCTTGCATCTGAATGAGATTAAATATTAGTGCTTTAAGGATATGGAGTGATGTTTCAGCTTTTGCTGTTTCTGCTTCATCAGCCTGGGAGCTCCCATCGACCATGGCAGTCCTACTTTGACCTGATCTTGGTGGATGCACGGAAACCACTCTTTTTTGGAGAAGGCACAGTACTTCGTCAGGTGGATACTGTAAGTTGAGGGGATGTTCTGTCTGCACATTGTTCTTCCTGTTTCTCCTTCTCCCACTCCCCCTAAGGAAACAGGTATTTTTATCTACTTAGTTGTATCTCTCTCTTGAAATTATTCTAAGACTTGGTTTCAAAAGTGTCTTTCATTTCTTTGTTTAGCCAAATAGCATTTTAGATAGACATTATGATAGAATGATAAAATATTAGAGTTCATATTCTCTTCTCACAGAAAACTGGCAAGCTGAAAATTGGTACCTACACAGGGCCCTTACAGCATGGTATTGTCTACTCAGGAGGTGAGTTGCAGCCTTCCCTTTATTTGGTGTGTGTCTCTGCTCAGACCTCACCCTGAAAGCATTGATGTCCTCCTAGCATAGTGGCTCATATACCCTTTAGTATCCTAAAGCTATCTACTGCAGGTAAATACTTCAGTCCTCTAGTAATACAATAGGAGTCAGGGAGAATGGGTTTGAGAAGTTGTTAGTATGTTCTAATGAATCTTTGATTTTTCACCCAATCTTTCTTTTACTTATTTGAGGCTGTTTCTCAGTGTCTTGAAATCATTTGGGGGTAGTCCTATGGGACATAAATACATATTCTGTTGGAATGATAAACTTAATAGCAGATCTATGATGACAAAAAGAGGTGGTACTTTTGAGGGTTATAGTCAATACTAATGCCGAGACATGTAGGAGGCAATTTTAAAAAAATGAGAAAAAGATAAATTGTGGGTCTTTGACTTTAAGGTGAGCCTTTTTTCTAGTGTGTTCTTCACATACTTGTAAGAAATAAATTAATCAGCACAGTATTTAATCGTTATGGTACTGAGAATGCTATTTTTTAATATGGGGACATTTTTTTGTTTCAGGTTCATCTGATACAATCTGTGATCTGTTGGGAGCCAAGGGCAAGGATATTTTGTATATTGGAGATCATATTTTTGGGGACATTTTGAAGTCAAAGAAACGACAAGGGTGGCGAACTTTCTTGGTGATTCCTGAACTTGCACAGGAGCTTCATGTCTGGACTGATAAGAGTTGTAAGGAGCCATTTTTTTTTTTAATAAATCTTTGATATAGTTAATTTATATAAGTGGCCAGTTGTGAACCAGTACTTTTTATGCAGGAGGGTCAATAGATGGGCCCTGATACTTATATAATTCTTCCCCAGACGTCCAGAATTGGAGGAAATAGAGAGGTTATCTTGTTCAGTTTTCTTCTTGAATCCTTTCAATTTTAAGTATAAAATGTTACTGAGTTCTATTAGAATAGCAGCTAACCTGGGAACTCCACTCTCCTCGTTAGTCCCCGTTTGTCCAACCATGCTACTCCTTCCAATCTCTCTACTACAAGCTCTGTGACTCTGGGTGTTAATCACCTCCTAATACTTTTTATTTGTTCTTCTGAGAAGTAGAGAATGGGGCCAAATTCCATTCTCAGAACTGAGCTATTCTGTGGACACTGAAATGTGAGCAGTGGATTTATATCTTTACATAACTTCAAACAGTGTGGTAAAAGGTAATGCCTGCATGCCCTTAGGCAAGTTACTGGCAACCTCTGCCTTCGTTTCCTCAAGTATGAATGTGGATAGTAATACCTACCTCATAAAGCTGAGGTAAGGTGTATATAAGGAAGATACAAGTAACAACCCTTCTCAACCAGGGCTCCTCATCTGAAACAGAACAGAGAAAATGTGTCCTATACAATGATTACATTAAGGCTTAATTCTCTTTGGGGAACCCAGGTGGAGAAAAGCTGGAACACAGAGGCAGCATGCAGCAGGTGCTGGCTGTTGGTTGGTATTGGTTGGTATTGTTTGTACTTACCAGTGGAATTTTCTGGCTAGCCTTTCATCCACATTTTCAACTTCTCACTTAGGAAGTTTTAGAAATTTATGGAGTTGGCCCCATTTCCTAGACTTGTAACTATGGACAGGTCCCCTCATTCTGTTAATACTTGCTTTGCTGACACACCTGAGAGGGGGTGTGAATTGGCACTTTGTAAGCTTAGACTCAGCATCCAGTTGGAAGAGTTGTGGTCAGCGGTGAGTCAGTAGAAAAAAGGCAGAGGAAACACTGATGTTCATCTGCAGGCCGGGTAGCAGAGGTTTTACTGAAGGGGGCAGGGAAGTTATTTTACACACTCACCTGTGGCTTTACTTTTCAGTCATATATCTGCAACCTTTTTAAATGTAGTTTCAGCAGTAATAAAAAAAAAACGATGCTTTTTATCTAAAATATTTTTATTTTCCTTCCAAACCATAACAAGCGCTTTTTGAAGAGCTTCAGAGCTTGGATATTTTCTTGGCTGAACTCTACAAGTAAGTTTCCCCCTAAAACTTCCCTACCTTTTTGGGAATCCCATAGGTATATGAGATATCCTTTCTAGAGAGATTTTCACTGGATTTCTCATTTGTCTCCAGGCACCTTGACAGCAGCAGCAATGAGCGCCCAGACATTAGCTCCATCCAGAGACGTATTAAGGTATCCAAATGGGATTTGGGAGAAAACTTGCAAAATAAAGTTTGTGATTTTTTGTATTTCTCATTTTGTACAGGGACTGGCACTTAGCTGGTGCACAAATGTTTTTGAATGAGCTGACAGTTTTATTCTTTAATTTAGAAAGTAACTCATGACATGGACATGTGCTATGGGATGATGGGAAGCCTGTTTCGCAGTGGCTCCCGGCAAACCCTCTTTGCCAGCCAGGTGATGCGTTATGCTGACCTCTACGCCGCATCTTTCATCAACCTGCTGTATTACCCGTTCAGCTACCTCTTCAGAGCTGCCCACGTCTTGGTGAGTCAGTGCAGCTGTAAGCTACGGTTACAGTTCTACAGTTAACATACTGTGGATGGCACCAGAGAAGTTGGCATTATTCCTTTCTAATGTGCACAGAGACCTAGGGTGGGTTGCACAAAAAGGAGTCTTTCCTCTTTTGTTCGCACTAAATGAAAGAAATGCAGTTTTAATATTCCTATGAAATGTGATCTGTGTTTCAGGACTGCTTTTGCTGTGAGAAAGAAAATAAGGCTCTCTTCTCTCATTTTACCCAGTTTCAAGCTATAGTACATGATTTGGGCACAGTGTTGAGGATTGAGAAAGAAGAGGGTAGGCAGCTTTAGGGAGTTCCAGGAAGTAAGTACTTCAGTACCTAAACTGGGTTGGCCTCTGGTCCATGATAGACAGCTCTCTGCATGGCCACCTACAGAGGGAGAGGAGCTCTTAGAAGTCACCAAGCTTAACTAGGTCTGGAAGCTTCCCCGATCTGTGAGAGAAGTTGCCACCACTTTCCTGGAACTTAAGTGAATACAATCAAAGTAGTATTTAAAATTTTTGCTGGAAAGTGTACACATGAGGCTGAAGATATTTTAAAATAAGAACTAGAGAATCAAGAAGGAATAAACTGTGTGGGCTAGACCATTGCTAAGAATTGTATCCATGCAGTAGTGATCACAAAACTGAAATAAGTCAATAGAAAAGCTTAAAGAAACAAACTCAAGAGAAAGCTTAGAGTTCGTCTGATTTCTAAGCTAGGAAGAGTGGGGAAAGTGGAGCAGCTCACTGTGGAGCAGTGCTTTTAGAAGATGGAAAAATAGAAATCGTCAAAAACTGGACTGCTAAGCTCAACCTTAGGTCAGCCAGAACACCAGTGATTCAGAAAAGGCTCTTTACACAGGCGGCAGGCAGCTGATCATTAACCTCTTCAACCAAATGCTAGTGGAAAGCTCATGACATTATTTTAAAAGTAGATTGGAACTCAATGATTTATTTGCTGGTGAACACTGTAAATACAAGGTATGGGATAGTTATGGCTGCCCTCTGTATAATGCGCATCCTGTTACCTTAGTTGCCTGGGCTCCTGAATCATTTGCTGTTGGATCATTTCATACTTTATGCTTGTGTGATAAACCTGGGCAGTCATACGCTTTAGAAAAGCCCAACATTGAAAGCATATTTAATATTGCCTGGTTGATTAATGGCACTCAGATTGCTGGAGCCTGCGGAAATGGACATATTCTTTCTGCACCCACATGGTGGAGCAGTGTTGGGAGTGGAAAGTTTTCAAGTAACATTAGTCAAAAGGAAGACCGTGCACGTTTGTAATGTTAATGATGCAGTGCACTTACTGGAATTGTGATAGCATCATTAAAGCATCTTTGAACCAGAGAGGTTAGGATTTGGGAAATAGCTCCAACTGCTCTCTGAACCTATGACTTTGAACTATGACTTTGTTCTAGATGCCTCATGAATCTACGGTGGAACACACCCATGTAGATATCAATGAGATGGAGTCCCCGCTCGCCACTCGGAACCGTACTTCAGTGGATTTCAAAGATACTGACTACAAGCGGCACCAGTTGACACGGTCGATTAGTGAGATTAAACCCCCCAACCTATTCCCACTGGCCCCCCAGGAAATCACACACTGCCATGATGAAGATGATGATGAAGAGGAGGAAGAGGAAGAATAAGAACGAAAACCAAAATGCTGAACACCCATTAAACCAGTTCTGGCAGGACTCACAGGAGCAGACAATGTCCCTGCTTGGGTCCTAGCGGGAGTGGGGGGGGCATTCCATCAAAGGTATATCTGAAAAGTTTCTGAAGCCCTTAAGACAATTCTAATCGTAGGGAGATACTTGTTTTAGTTTTGTGTGTCTACACTCTTTACAGATGGTTTAAAATTATAATGGAGTCTGTATTAGGAAAAAGGAAAGGTAAAAGCTGGGCTGAATTGCATGAAGATGGCTCCGTTGTGGCTTGTGACACTGTTTCCTTGTCTTGTTTCATCATCAGTCTGTTTAGTGTCTCAGGTGGAAGGAGGAAGATGATGGAAGAGGTGATCCAGAAATGCTGTTATGTTACAAATTGTGCTCTTCCTCCAAAATCCATCTTTTTCAGTGCATTACATAGTATTGTATGTCAGTGGAGAATACATTGTTTCCAGGATCAAATGTAGTCTTCTGTTTAGGTCAAAGTTTTTTGTGTTCTCTGCTTGCTGTAGGGCTGATATGGAATGGACTGCAAAAGTTTCATCTTTCTATAGTTCTATGATTGATAAGCTTTTTTGTTTTTTTCTTTTCAAAAAACAATCTTCTCATCTGGGACAGATCTATAGAAAGAATTTAGTTGAAAGAGGACAAAGGAACAGGCCCCCCAAAAGAAAAGGAGGAACTTTTTATATTACAGCATAACTGAGTAATTCACTGGTATGGGCTACATTGTGTGGCTTGTGCTACTGAATTCCAGCTTTCTCTATCCTCTCAAGTTGAGTGCTGAGTTTCATTGTCAAGCAGAAGATAGAACGTGGGCTCTGAAAGCCAAAACTTTACAAAAGCAGAGGGCACAATCAGTGTGAATGATTTCACTTCAGAATCCCAAAAATCACTTCTTGTCTTGAACAAGAATGGATCATTACTGTATACACTAGGGAAAGGGGTACTATCCCAGTACCAGTACAATGGTGTAGACTCCTAACTTTATCCTTCATTCTTATGTCATTGGTCAACATGGAAGGGTCAGTTAGTTGCTCTAGAACTCAATAAAGTATAATATTTCTAATACTGACTTTGACCTCTTCTGTAGCACAACTGTCATAACTGTTGGGTTTAGATTAATTTAGTGACATCAATTTGACACTCTCCCCTAAAATATAGTCTAGCATGGTTAATTGTTAAATTGATAGCATGTAAATAGGCCTCAATTTTCTCATGGAAAATTTATTTTGGTATAGGACTATGAGATAAGGCTTTTTTCCTTTCCTTTTTTTTGAAATTATATAGTAGGAAACACAGTAATTTAACTAATGCCGTATTAACTCACTGCTTTAAATATCTGTGGCTTTATATTGTCAGGTCAAGAAACATACATTCTAACTGGTAACTATTAGGAATATGTTCTACTTTTAAAGTATTGCAAATTGCAATTAGATACTGTCTTTGCTTTGAATTTTAGAGAATGTATATATGGTCACCCCAGCTATTAATTATTCTCACTTAAGATAGAGATATTGCCCAGTTTACACATGGTCTTAAATTTTCACAAAGCCAAAGAATTTTTAAGTGGGTTATTATAACTATAGAGCTAACTTATAAGAGTAAATTTACATACCTGCCCTTTACAAGGACCAACATGAGCAGTTTGCTTTAATTTACCCCACTTTTTGTATTGTCCACGTAAGATCTTATCTATGTAATAGACTCTTTTTAGTCAGATGTCTCTCTGGCAATGGGTCCAAAGACTGAGAAGTGAAAAACACAATTGGAATAAGGAATAAGAATGCCACTGATGGTTACAACTTAAGGACCACCAAAATGTATTTTAAAGAGCTCACATTCCATAAAGTCTAAGATCCAGAACGTAGTGTGTTGGAGAATCAGTGAGCCATTGGCAGGCAGCTGCAATTGGGCTTGTTAAAACATGAATCTGAGTGGCTCTTGCCAATAGTTAAAGGAAGCTGAATTTAAAACATGCCCCCACCTCCTTTTTTTAAAACCTGAGGTGTTTTAGACAAAACCTGAGGTGTTTTAGACTGATCTCCCAACTTTTCAGAATCTTTCCTGGGTATTTGAAAAACACCACTTATGTTCAGGCGAACAGGGACCCTGGCACACACCCAGCAGCTCGTCGGGCACAGTGCTGCTGTTTCCTCTCAAGAATTGCCCCACACGTTCGCTCTATAAAGGTGGTCAGTTAAAGCTCAGATGGTGTGTTTCATAAAAATCCGTTAAAGCGAGAACATTAGTGCTCTGTTGAGACCTTAGATGTTCTCCTACAATATGCATAGTTATGCTGAGACTTAAAATAAGAAAGGTCCTCAAGCTACCCTTTATAAGATGCTTTTAGAAGTGGTTCTTAGTGGTTCGTAGAACTAGAATAACTTAGAGCTACAAATCCTTTAGTCATGTTAAGTATTATTTTTAAGCAACCACTATAAAGCCACTTGCAGTGACATATCAGATTTAAAAGTACTCTGTCCATGTTTAGATATTAAGTAAATCAGATTTAGAAATAACTATTTTGTCAACAAGTTTAAAATCCTGAAATTTTTCCAAGACCGCCAAGAGCATTTAAAAATACCGTGCTTATTCACCACAAATAGCCTGAGACAAACAACTGCATATCTAAGTCTGCATTAAGGATAGAGCCTTGTCCACATTCCATGTTATGGAAACTATTTCATCTTTCTTTGGTGGTGGGAAAAATGGTAACTATGATCGAGCTATTGCCATACAGTTACTGGCCCAATTCCTCACTTGGTTTAGTAGTTTATGTCTCAGTACTTAGGTTTCTCATGGCATTCTTTCCTGGTGACTAGAGCTTTTACATGCTTTTCCTCAAATGGAACAATTTCAAATGATACATAACTTTAGGAGGGCCTGAGAATGAATTCTTTACCATGGAATTACCTAAGCATCCTTGAAAATACAAGAAAAACTGCACTATTACCAACAAGTGGAGGATGCACAGGCACAGCAACCAGGAAGCAGAGGCAGGCGGACAGGGTGACCCTGGCGTTCCATACTGCTCTTACTGCCAATTTGGAGAAGCAGCAGAAAGCACATCAAAAAAGAAAACTGCCCTTGTTTAGCAATGAACAAGGCAACTTTCTGCCTAACCTGGCTGGCTAAGCCGTTTTCCCCGTCCTCAGAGACAGTATCTTCATTCCAGGGCCATAACCATCTGACTTGTTCCAACAAAGGTATGTAATTTCAAAAATAAAATATACACAGTAGTTAAGTCCCTTTGAAGAGTTTTAACACAAGAAGTACTCCCAGTTAAACAGAACATTTCATCTCAAGTCTGCTGACTCCGGTACTGTAAGTCTTAAGTAATCTTATATTTTCCAACTTAAAACCACAGAAATTACATTTTTGCTCCATTTTACCACTAGAAAAAAAAGTGTAATTAGACAGATTACTTTGAGCTAAAGGTACAAGAATGTCCCCAAATACTTGCTCTCCCTTTGAGCTGAGCTCCCCTCTCCCCAAGTCGTATCTAGCCAGGGCTGTAGACAAGGTCTAAAGAGTCCGGGCCAAATTCCCGCCCGCCTTCCCCCCCTACCCCCCCCGCCCCCCACCACCACCACACACACAAACAAAAGAGCCAAAGCAGCCAAGTGCATGTTCTTCCCATGAAAGAGAAAGTCCTCCTCTCAAGTCTCACAAGTTCCTGAGATCCTGGGAAAGCCGATTTGCCAACCAGTCCTTCCTAACATGTCCAGTCTTTCTGAGAGGATTCTCACCAAAGGTAATTGATGTGGGGGTGGGTAGGTATTCTGAAGCAAGGAACTTCATTTTTTGACCCATTGCCCTCAAATCACTGATGGAGCAGAACTGTGGTAGGGGAGCTGGCTCAATCTAAAAATTTCTGCCTTGTGTCCTAGCTGGTTTGACTCAGTGGATAGAGTGTTGGCCTGTGGACAGAAGGGTCCCAAGTTTGATTCCAGCCAAGCACATACCTTGGTTATAGGCTCTTCCTTGGCCCAGGCCTTAGTGAGGGCCCGTCCAGGAGACAACCAATTAATGTGTTTTTCTCACATTTTCTCTTTCCCTCTCTCTCGCTAAAAATCAATGGAAAAATACCCTCAGGTGAGGAGTAAAAATTCCTTGTGTTGGCCTAGAGTGCTTCACCATCACTACTACCCTGGCAGGAAAGCACTTGAACAACAAATCCTGACAGCTGAGTCTCCCTGGTATCCTTCGGCCTCACAGCCATCCACCGAGATGGCCTGTCCCAGAGGAAGGCCTATGACCATCCCTTTGTTCGGAAACTTCTTCGAAAGAGCACAGACAGGAGGATCTTAGAGCAGAAATGAAAGTTATATAACGAAAGCAAAAGTTTTCTAGCTAATATACACTGGCCAGATTATGATGACCTCTGAATGCATAATAATATGACTACACACACACTGAGTGGCCAGATTGTTATGCGTTCAGAGATCATAATATGGCCACTTAGTGTAATTCAACCTTTGACTTTAATAAGGATCATCTGGATTGAATTGAATTACCTTCAGAAAGTATCAAATAAGTTCTCAGAAATCAACTCCAAGCTATGAAAAGGTCATTCAGTTTGTACACTCACTTCCTCTACAAGATCCTCAGATAACTATCTGTGACAAATGCTGAACTGAGAAGTCGCCTGGAGAGGACAATTTGTTAATGAAATTGAAACCTCAGCTTTCTTCATGGTAAAGCCTAGAAGTGAACTACCACATGGCACATGGACGCAGACAGAGGCTGAGGCAGATCTCATCACCTCTCTTCCTCAGAGCACTTGTCTAGTCAACGCGAGTAAAGCAGGAAAAACCAAGAGCAATCGACCGGGCGTGGATGTGTCGGAGAGAAGATTCCTTCCCTAGCCGTTTGCTTCCTGCTCTGCTTCTCAAAGCACACGGCCCCCCTAACACTCCACTGGAGTACAGATGTGCCTTCTACTCTTAAGAAGAGTGGGGATAGTGATTGGGGAGCTGGGATGGTGGGTAGGTCAGACAGTGTCCAGCCAGTCTTGTCAGCACTTCACCGAAATGTCTACATCCACAGGATACAAGTAGTAAGTAAAACAGACCACAAATGTCATAAATAATAATGGTGGGAAGAATGAGGGACCAGATAAGAAGCTCACTTCTCAGAGTGGAGGAAAAAGGATTCCAAAAAGATGTGGCCTAGAGAGGGGTCACAGAGGGGCTGTTGATGCCTGAATCTCTAGAGCACCAGAGCACGACTCACCACACTGATGCTGGTGTAACTCTAAGCCTGCGCATCCTCTCCATCCTGGGAGAGGTCTCACAGCAGGCTTCATCTTCGAGATCCAATTGAGAGGCTCGGATGAGGCCTTCAGCCTTGCCTAGGAAAAAACCGCTTAGAGCAGTGGTCAGCAAACTCAAGTCAACAGCGGTTTGCCGACCACTGGCTAAGAGAGTTGCCCAGATGGTTGTGTTATTAGTGACTGAGCACCAAATTTCTAGGGCAAATTTGGGTGCATTCAGTGCCCTTACTAAAACTGAGGGGAGAAATTACAATCCTTGCAAAGGGGCATTCTCTGGAATTGGCTGTTCCAGGCTATATGTTGGAGACTTGGTTCTAGTAGCCACTTTTCTCGTAGCACACAACTTTGTGATAATATATCCAAAGGAAATGCCACACTGACAATTT